AAAAGATTTTGTGTTCAATTGTTGGCATTTTTTTCTGTCTACGATAGATGTCAGTGCGCGCATTGAAATTGTGAAATCCTATTATTCCCTTGGTGAAAGCGCCACCACCAAACATGATCTCATCAAAGAGCCTTTCACCGTGTCGACCATTACACGCTTGATTGCAAAATTTGAGTCCACTGGATCTGTATTGGATTTTCCTGGCAAAGGGAGAAAGTCTCAGAGTGATGAAAGAGCACCCATTGTACAGAATGCTGCCGAGCAACTTCAGTCCCAGAGCATCTTCGTCAATAACTCAGGTGCCTCAGTTGAACGGCATTCCCCGCGCCAGCGTGCATCGTATTATGAGACGCCAACTTCATCTCTAACGGTATCGTTTCACTTTATCACAAAACATCACGGAAGAAGACAAGGGGCAGCGTGTCACGTTCGCTAACTGGCTGCTGGACAATGAGGAAATCGTTCCCAACATTTTATGGAGCGATGAAGCAAATTTTTCTGTGGATGGCGTTGATGCGTGATATAGTCCCGTGAAGCTCCTCACGAGTACCTCATCCATAATCTCCATTCCCTTCATCCCTCTGTGTGGATGGGATTCTCCTCAAAGTGTCTCCTGCGTCCCTTTTACTTTGATGCAACGGTTTCCGGCGACAGTTGCCTCCATATGCTGCAGGCGCATGTTATCCCGCAACTTAAGCAGCACGAAAATTCATCGAACGTCTTTCAACAAGATGGCGCTCCACCTCACTACTCAAACCAAGTGAGAAGTTACCTCCGAGAGCAACTTTCTGATGAGAGAGTCATTGCTCGTGGATTTCCAAACTTTTGTCCCGCAAGGTCACTCGATCTCACACCTCTAGATTATTGATTTTGGGGAATGATCAAGACTCGCCCATGTAATGAAAATAAACCGAAGAATTTGGTGGAGCTTAGAGCAAGAATTGACGAGGAGTGTGCACGAGTGACGCTTGAAGAAGTAAAACATGTTGTTTCTCACATCTCATACCTCCTCCAACTTGCCGTAGAAGAAAGTGGCGGTTTGTTTTTTCATCTTT